AACATGGTTAATGAGCAAAGTTAAGGAAGCCAGAAGATATTAGAAAACTTCTTTTAAAAAACAGTCTTTTACAAATGAGGCGAGTAAGAAGGAGCAGATTCTGGAAAAGCAAATGTAAGTTGACAATAAGGTGTGCAAAACCAGAAAGTGAGGAGCATATTGCTAAAAACAGTGGCAGACAATAGGTATGTCTTTAAATATATCAGAAGCCGGAAACTGGCTAAGGAGGCAGTTGGGCCCTTTGGTGACAAACAGGCGAATCCTCTGCTAAGACCCTGTGCTGAGATCTCTTCTTCAGACCAGCCTCCTCACTCCGCACTGCCAGCTGTAAGGTGAGGGATGGCAGTGCAGGGCTCCTGCTTATGTCTGGAATGAACACTGGGGCGGCAGAGGAGTGCCCAAGGGCTACCCATCACCCCCCCTCCCCAAGCCTGGCCCTGCCACCTGCACTTCTGGCAAAGGAAATATAAAAGGCAGCAGCTCTGCTCCTTTGCTGGCTCTGGGACCAGACAGGGCCAGCCATGCAAAGACCTTTTCATTCCCTGCACAAACAACAAGTGGCAAGCATGGAGCTGGGATGTTTTTGTTCCCCTCCACACAACATGTGAACAAGGAGGGAGAGAATAACAGCCAACTCCATCTCTGGCTGCTGGAGATTGGGGCCCAAGGACGGGTTGTTGCCTGTGCGCTTCTGGCACTGCAGTGGCCACCACTCCCCTCAAATGCAAAGCTTCTTGGAGGTTCTGGTCCCAGGGGCAGAACTGAAAGAGGGATTCAGCTCAGTCCCATGATACATAGTGAGATTCATTGGGATCTCAGGCCTTGTACTGGCAGGTTGGGAAAGCAGGAACAAGTAAAGCAAAGAGGCGGAGAAATCTTCGGGGGGGGGGGGAGCAGGCCAGCAGGCAAAGGAAATAGCAGAACAGAAAAGTGGCACAGGAACCCGGGCAAGAGTCAAGGAGCTGAGATGAAATGTATGCATGCAGCCTTGCTTCTTTCCTGCTGGGTAAACCCTTCAAGTTAAACATATTTGCATTCAGCTCCTTGCGTAGCCCCCCCCTTTCTAACTACTAAACCACATCCAGGTGTGAGGGCTTGGACATTAGAAACTGAAGTTACAAATAAAGTGACAACTGGCTTCATTTTTCAATCCCAGAATCACAAAAGCATCAGATAACCCCCAACATTCACTGTAAACTCCGTAGCCCTGGTTCAGTGAAGCACTGCAGGGTGGAAGGCAGAGAAAGAGCGACTGGGTGGAGTGAATAACTGCTCTCCAGAGGAGGCAGGACAAAGTAGCAAAAGGATGCACAGGTGGGGGACTGCACAACTCATCGCACACCAAGCCCCACATTACTCTCCAGCTTTTATGCGGTGGCTTGTCGGATGGTGCTAGACAACCCTTTTGCTTTTGCAGTTCCAGGCAGATGGCGAAGAGAGAGAGAGACATACCAAGATCCTGGTGCACCACCATTCCTGGACTGGACAACATTCACTACGGTGTGAAGCAAGTTGCGCAGGTCTGCTGCATTGCACAAGAAGTATCAGGATGTAGCCTAGATTTCTGTATCATGCATTTCAATAGTTATGGTACAAAGTGGCATTCAAAGAGAACTGTAAAGGAACCAGAGTTCTACTCTACAGCACAAGGTCTGTTCTCCCATTTGGTGGCTACCTCATCAAACACACTGCTTAGTAAAATATTATACGTACTAGGAATAAGGCCCATTGTGGAAATAAATACAACGAGCTCCAGAAAGAGGCTCTGGGCAGGTGCCCTGGCCTTGGGCATTCAGTGTCAATTTGCTGTGGTGACCTCAGTAAGGTATAATGACACAAAGCTTACTGTTTTTTCCATGGGAACTGATCTCTGCCATCTGAAGAGCAGTTGTAATTCTAGGTGATCTTCCACCCTCCCCCGGAGACAATGGTTCCCCAGGAGGAAATGGCTGGTTTGGATGGTGGAGTCTATGGCATTGTACCTGTCTGAGGACTCACCCGCCCTCAAACTCTGCCCTCTCCAGGCTCCACCCCTCAAATCTCCAGGATTTTCTGAACCTGGAGGTGGTAACCCTATCTCCTTCCCAGCCAACTACCGGCGAACCTTTATCTGCCCCTCTAACTTCAGCTTTCCATCTCCCCACCACCACCTGGAGCCTATACCTAGGAAAGGTACAGTCTTTCTCCACAGTAGGGAAATCATTCTCTCCTCCTTTTGATCTGCAGAACAACCCTGTAAGGTAGGTTAGGCTGAAAGTCTGTGAGTGGTCTGAAATCACCCAATCAGCTTCCACAGGAAGAACCTGGGTCTGGCAGACCCTGCTCTGAAGCACTATCTGCTACGTCACACTGGCTGTCATGGGGGGGCCACCTCAGCAAGGTATAATGACACAGAGTCCACCATTTTCTGCAGGGGGACTGATTTCTGCCATCTGGAGAGCAGTTGTAATTCTGAGTGATTTCCAGCCCTCACCTGGAGATAGGCAACAATGGTTCCCAAGGAGGAAATGGCTGATTTGGAGGATGGAGTGTATGGCATTGTACCTGTCTGAGGTCCCACCCCGCCTCGAACCCCACCCTCTCCAGGCTCCACCCCTCAAATCTCAAGGAATTTCCCAACCTAGGGTTGACAACTATCTCCTTCCCATCCAACCATCAACCTACCTTTATCTGTCCTTCTGACTTCAGCTTTCCACCTCCCCCCCCACTACCTGGAGCCTCTACCTAAGAAAAGTACAGGCTTTCTCTGCAATGGAGACCCAAGTAGGAGGAAAGTGACCTCAGCAAGGTATAATGACACAGAGTCCACCCTGCAAAGGGAAACTGAGCTCTACCATCTGGAGAGCAGTTATAATTCTGAGTGATCTCCAGCCCTCACCTGGAGAATGGCAGCAATGGTTCCCCTGGAGAACATAACTGCTTTGGAGGATGGACTCTATTCTATTCAGCTGATGCCTCTCCCCTCCCCAAACCCTGGCTTCTGTAGACTCCACCACAAAATCTCCAGAAATTTCCCAACCTGGAACTGGCAACCACAGTCAGGACTGGCCCAAATGAGTTTCCCACAAAGGCCTGGAAAGGGCCTCCTGGCATTGCCTTTTTACTGACAGAACCAAGCTTGGTTGCCTAGCAACAGCCACTGAGGGAAAAGTTAGTCCCACAGGAGCCAAGCAGCAAAAGTGTCTTTATCAGGAGAGAGAGCCATTTTGGCAGTTAATTCTGACAGGGAACAGTGGCTGAGGCATCAGTTGTCGGGGAAGAGAAGCACACTGTCAGCTATGCTGCCATGATGTTTATGGGCAAGAGTGCAACTGCTTGACCTGTGTACCAACTGCTGCCGCATTCCTTCGCTCTTTATTATCTCTGACCTTGCAAGCTGCCTGTGTAGTGTCTTCCCATCATTTACCCGTGGGATTAGTTTCGATTCCCAGCTTTGGCTTTAACGGCCTGGGGCCCCATTCTCCCGTGCGCGGGAGTCAGGCCGATTGGCCTAGGAGGGTGTGTGTGCATATGAATACCCTATATCCCATTATGCTTGTAGGAACGTAGCCATTCCTAGCAGTGATGATGTTACTGCCTCTATAGCTCTTACAATAAAGTATAACCTTATGATAAACGTGTACTCCTTTGTTTGGCTGTGGAACCTGACACAGACCCAGCTCCCAGCCAATGGCAAGTGAGTACTTTTGATTGGCAATTGATGGGCCAATGGCTGATGGAGCGCACAGCACAGCCAATGGGAGAGCTGGAAAGTGCCAACGTGTTAGGGCAATTACATACATCAGATACCACTATGGGGGCGACTTTCGGATTTTCTGCCACAGGCACCTAAACATTTCGAGCCACATTTCTGTGTGAAAGTACAAGAAAGTGGTCATCGCTCACCCAAAGCTATAAATGCACCAGCAGTCTCATTTACTGACCATTATGTGTTTAAGACTAGGCATATTCTGTGCTGAAAAAGTAACATTCTGCAACAAGAACAGACAAATGGAGAGCCCAGGGTAAAGCACACTAATTGTAGAAATGTGCTTGAATCAGCAGAATTTATTTGCATTTTATATTTATACCTTTGCAGGGTATTTTGGCAAGAGGAGAGTGGAAAAGTGCAAGGAAAGAGAGAAAATATGCGTCAGGCAGAACAGCAGGGAAAGGGTTAGGGTTAGGTGATCCTGGGCCATTCAGTCTCTCTCTCTCAGCCTGAAAAGGGTGGTGGTTATGAGGATAAAGCAGAGGAGGGAGAATGAGGTTGTAAGCCACTTTGGGTCCTCATCAGGGGACATTTCGTAGAAAAAAAGGTGCAGGAGCTCATTAGCATAACTTATTTGCATATGCCACACCCCCTGACATCACCGGAAGAGTGTCAGAAGGCAACACCCACCGCTCAGGCTCCACTGGACTGTTTTGGATTGCTAGCTATTGGGGGGGGGGTTTTCCCACACAGATCTGCCCTCACAGAGGAGGGAGAGCTTGTGCCTGAATAAAACTCGGTCTTAAAGGTGCCACCTGACTGTTTTGGACCGGGGGGCTGGGGGCTCTGCAACTTACCTGGCTGCTTCTTGCTCTGACTGAGGGCTGCTGGGAGCAGGGGGTGGGGCTTGTTGCATGTGCCCACCCCTTGGGCTCTTTACTGCCGGAGCTCCACTCCTGTGCGCTCCTACAGGAAATGACCCCTGGTCCTCATTGAGGAGAAAAGCCAGGAATCAAGAGCACTGGTCAGGGAGATGGGGAACATATAAACCACTGAGCAGATCAGACCAGCACAACCCCCAGCCCAAGTCCTTCTCTTTCTTCAGTCTTTAACAAGCAGAGCTGATATATTCTCCACCACACAGCATATTGCAAATCAGCATAAAGAACTAGCCGGGATTCCAGAGGAGCCAATTCATGCACACAATCCTGCGTGGTAAGATCATACAGAAGCAGAGACTACACTGAGAGGTCAAGTTTCATGACAAACGTCTTTACTACACAAAAGAAGTATGCCAATCCTAGTGGAAGAAGAGGTACGGGAGCTCAGGTGGCTCTCACCAGTTGGCTTCTTAACCCTGCCCGTGCCATACCCACAGTCCACCTCTTGCTCACTGCTCTGCACGCACCCTCTCCAGACTTCCACTGAAAGGTGAAAGAGTAAGCAGAGAAAGGTTAGCCGACGCTTGCAGCAAGAGCCAGGACAATTTCCAATCGCCGTGCTTGAATATGAGCCAAGTGGCACCGCTCCAGTCTAGAGTGGGAGTCCAGATGTTCCAGGAAGAGGGAGGGGTGTCACACATCTGCCTCTGTGAAAGGGTCACCGGCATCAGCTAAACAGCCCTTTTGCCTTCTTCCTCTTGGCCTTGGTCATGGGCAGTTGAGCCTTCTGGGCTTGGGTGCATGATGTCTAGAAAGGAGGAAACAATCAGCACGGACAGTTCCGCCTCCAAGGGAGGCACCGCCACTCCCAGCCACACCCTTTCCCGACACATTCCCCCTCGTGTGCTTGGACTCTGCTCTCACCCGTGTCCCTTGAACACACTGGGCTGCTGCTGACTGGGATTCAGCCTTTCCCTTTTCTGGTTCAGGTTCAACCGGCAAATCCTGAGTGCTCACCTGTTCCAGGCTCTCAGGATCTCCTGAGGGGTAAAAAGGGGAACAGTTACATGCAGAGAAGCAGGCCTGTGTGTTTGTGATGCAGTAGAGCCAAGGGATGGGAATGAAATGAATTAGAAGACGAAGAAGAGATTGGATTTATACCCCATGGCCCTTCACTACCCAAAGGTGTCTCAGAGCGGCTTACAATCTGCTTTCCCTTCCCCTCCCCACAACAGACACCCTGTGAGGCAGGTGGGGCTGAGAGAGCTCTTGACAGAAACTGCTCTTTTTCAAGAACAGCTCTTATCAGAACTATGGCTTGCCCAAGGCCATCCGGCCAGGTGCAAATGGAGGAGTGGGGAACCAAACCCGGTTCTCCCAGATTAGAGTCCGCACACTTAGCCACGACACCAAACTGGCTCTCAAATTAATTTGCATGTGGACATCAGATAGAGTATTATTTATATACAAGACCACATAGCTGCGGAGGAAGAACAGAAGAGACTTACAAAAGGGGGGGGGTGAACCTTGATCTGGTGATGTCTTTTAGGACTATGTGATTTTCAGGGTGGGGGAGCAAATACAGGTGGATCCTCCCTCCAGTTTAAAAGGAAAATCATTCACATGCTGACCTTACACTGCTTGTACAATTCTAAGCCTTGGAAATATTTCGACCCTATCTAAATGTGCAGGGAGTCTGGAACACTCCAAAGCAGGGGTGTCAAACATGCGACCTAGGTGCTGGATCAGGCCCCCGGAGGGCTCCCATCAGGCCCGCAGAGGAACTGGCCATCTGCTGCTTCCAGTTCTGCTGCTGCTGCATCATCGCTTGCTTCACCAGACTCTTTTAATCACTTAGTCATTTCATGTTTTAACCTGGGTCCTAGACTCAGAACTCTGAGCACGAGAGTTCTGTGGTGAATATCAATAAATGTTTTAAGCATGTTTTTATTTTAAGTTAAAAAAATTCTTTGTGTTTGTGGCCTTTATAAAGTTTATATCTCCGCTACCAGGCGTTACATTTTATGACACACACGGCCCGGCCCAACAAGGTCTCATTTATGTCAGATCCGGCAAATGAGTTCGACACCCCTGTTCTAAAGGTTAGGAGCAACATAGAAGGGAATGTAAGAAGGACAAAAAGTGTGTGAGTTCTGTGATAAACACAAACGGTGGGGAGAGCTTAAGGAGAAAGCAAACTGAGCTTGGCTCGTTTTCTTGCTAGGAGACAGCACTTGGTTTGGGGGTATCAAGGAACCAGGATGGATACTTTGTGGCAGTTACTCCTATCCGTGGACATCTGCCACCAGAATTCCTTCCCATCTTGGCTACCTTAGCCAGGGTGGAGGGGGTGGTAAAGGCACAGTGCATGCATACAATGAATACCCTCAGCCCTCTCCTCCACCCTTCATTCACTTACCTTCCCAGTGTCGCTTGCTATCCACTCTGGCCTGCTGCTGGGTCACTGCCATATACAGTTGCTTTAGGCTGGAAGTGAACATGTGCCCATCTCCCAGGCAACAGGCTTGGGGCAATGTCTGTGAAATAATTGAGGAAGATGTCAAGGCTACTCTGGACAGTGAATCACAGAATCATAGAATGTTAGAGTTGGAAGGGACCTTGCAGGTCATCTAGTCTGACCCCCTGCACTCTGCAGGAGCATAGCCGAAAGATAGCCCTATGTACCTACAACATATCCGAAAGATGGTCATCCAGCCTCCGCTTGAAAACTTCCAGCGAAGGAGCATCCACCACCTCCCGAGGCCGTCTGTTCCACTGCTCGACCACTCTTACAGTTAGGAAGTTTCTCCTGATATTTAGCCGGTAACGACTCCCTTGTAATTTCCACCCATTAGATCTAGTCTTGCAATCCGGAGTAAGAGAGAATAGATCTGCTCCGTCTTCTACATGACAGCCCTTCCAGTACTTGAAGACTGCAATCCTGTCCCCTCTAAGCCTTCTCTTTCCCAGGCTAAACAGAACCAACTCTTTCAGCCTTTCCTCGTAAGACCTGGATTCCAACCCTCTCACCCTCCTGGTTGCCCTCTTCTGTACGTGATGAACCCTGCCACACGAAACAAGAGGACCCCCTTTCACTCTCAGCTGATAGGTTCCCTGCCTTACCAACGTTGGTTTCTATGAAGGATCTCAAGTGTAAAAGGCTGGGGGGGGGGGACCATTTGCTTTGTCAGCCCCAGGAGAGTAGTTGACAGGCAGAGTAGACAATTGTCTGAGTCAGTACGAGGCAGCTTCATAGGAGATGACTTTTCTAACACTCTACCAGAGATGCCAGGGATTGAACCCAAGACCTTCTGCACACGGAGCATGCACTCTAACAATGGAGCCAGGGCTCTTCCCCAGAGATCCATTCCTCTTGCTGCTCTCATAGTCAACGATCAATGCCGGGAATACCCTTAAACCCCTGGCTTCCAAAAGCCAGAGGAACCCTTTCGCTGCATCCCAAAGGATCTCCATTCCCCATGTGAGAGTAGGAAGAGAAAGATGTGCTACTTGTGGAGAGTGCTGCTTGGTCTCAGAAAAGGGGAAGCTGTCAGGCTTAACATAAGAACATAAGAGACGCCAATGTTGGATCAGGCCAAAGGCCCATCCAGTCCAACACTCTGTGTCACACAGTGGCCAGAAATACCAGTGCCATCAGGAGGTCCACCACTGGGGCCAGGACATTAGAAGCCCTCCCACTGTTGACCCCCCCCAAGCACCAAGATGACAGAGCATCACTTGCCCCAGAGTCCCTATCTATACCTTGTGGATAATAGCCACGGATGGACCTCTGCTCCATATGCTTATTGAATCCCCTTTTGAAGCCGTCCATGCTTGTAGCCGCCACCACTTCCTGTGGCAGTGAATTCCATGTGTTAATCACTCTTTGGGTGAAGAAGTACTTCCTTTTATCCGTTCTAACCCGATCGCTCAGCAATTTCATGGAGTGCCCACGAGTTCTTGTATTGTGAGAAAGGGAGAAAAGTACCTCTTTCTCTACCTGCTCTTTCCCATGCATAATCTTATAAACCTCGATCATGTCACCCCTCAGTCGTCGTTTCTCCAAGCTAAAGAGCCCTAAGCGCTTTAACCTTTCCTCATAGGGAAAGTGTTCCAACCCTTTTATCATGCGAGTTGCCCTTTTCTGCACTTTTTCTAAAGCTATAATATCCTTTTTAAGGTGTGGTGACCAGAACTTCAGGCCAGAGCTACAAAGGCAGCCCCTTGTTTTCTCCCTGTGCCCCCCACCCTTGAGTGCAGAGCAAAACAGCTAGAGCTGATACTCTTCCTGGCATGCCTTGCACTGGCACATCCAGTAAGGCAGAGAGATGGGCCCAAGGCATGCAGACACACACACACACACACACACACACACACACACACACACACAGCTCCCGGAACACAGCGAGCCCAGCCTGCTGCCTGTTTCAAAGGTTTCCAGAGATAACGTTTCTGCACAGCGTGCCTGCTCCACACCCAAACAGTCAGGAGAACAAAGTGTAACAGATAACGGGGCAGTTCCTCTCCAGGCTGTAGGAGTACTCAAGGCCAGGAGTCCAAAGGCATGGCCTGTGACCCACTCCAGGCTGTAGGAGTGGCAAAGAGCTCTCAGCTCAAAGCACGGGGGACACCCACTAGAAGGTAGGGCAGAGTGAACGTGAGGGAGAATGTGTCACACAGGTATGTTGCAGCACCCATTTAAGCTGAGTCTCAAGCCATGCTCCGTAAATACTAAGTGAACGAATTCATTGAGCCACAGCTCTCCCAAGACCTTTCCCAGCCACAGTTCTTTTCATTAGAGATGCCCAGGATCGAAGTGGAGGCCTAAAGTATTCTCTCTGACACTAAACTATGCTCCCACACCACTCGTGAGAGGGCTTTGCTTATTGAAAGGCAAGGTCTTTACACTCTGCTTCAACCCTAGGAAAGATCTGCGAGAGATTTCAGGGGGCAATGAAAGAGCAGAACCATTTGTGAGTGTCTTGGGATGCGGGTGAGGGAGAGAAGAACTGAGGGGTGATACCCTGGGGACAATCTGTCAAGTTCTCCCTGAAGTCTCAACCAACATACTTCAGATGTAGAACTGCTGA